GATCCCTGGGGATCGCTTTGTCGGCAGACCTGGGTGCTGCTGCCTCCAGGCTCTGCAGCTGGTGGGTTTTGAGCCCCTAGGGATTGCCTGCTGCCCCGAGGCCCCGCAGCTGGTGTGTTTTGTTCCCCAGAGATTGCCTTGTCGGTGCGTGGGTAGCATCGCTGCCTGGAAGACTTGAAAGCCGCGGGTTTTGACTCCCAAGGGCCATCGTGTTGGCAGGCAGGGCTGCTGCCACCCCCAGCCTCCTTGGCAGGTTGGTTTTGACCCTCAGGGATTGCCTTGTCAGTGGGCAGAGGAGCTGCCGTTCCCAGGCTGCGCAGCCAGCGGGTTTTGATTTCCAGGGATCGCCTAGTTGGCGGGCTGTAGGACCGCCACCCCAGGCTGTGTGGCTAGCAGGCTTTGGCCACCAGAGGTCGCTATTTTGTCTGGGAGGGGGACATCAGAACACGGTGGGGAGGGTGGAGGGGAATGACACTTTTGATTGGTCCATCGCCATTGGACGAGGCCTCTGCTAGCGTCCTGCTATTGGTCAGGGCTCCGCTGATGGGCGGGGCCTCCATCTGTACTTATCTGTTTGCGGGCGCTACCCGCTGCTGTCAGAGGTTGGGTTTCTAGGCGGGCGAGGCCAGACTGCTACACTTTGATCAGAAGAGGTTGCGGGCTGGGACTTGGTACCACCGACAAATCTGGGCACTGATGGCTGTAAGTTCCAGACCCACCTTCTTTATTCTTAGCTGAGCCCAAGTAGTTTAGCCCTGCCAATTCCCACAGCGTTCCCCATGAGAGTAGACAGAAGTGGACCTCCAGGGGAATGCCTCGAAAAGCTGGAGAAGCTGGATATCTGCTGTGGGCTCTCTTTTCCCCACAGCAGAAACCATAGACCCAAAGGAACCCTCTAGGTGCTACATCAAGCTAGCCTACCGGAGGGAAGAAGGCAGCAAAGTGGTTTCAGCCTTACATCCTGGTTCTGGGATTTTCACAAAGGCAATCTTGTCTGTGGATGGTTGCTAATCCATATTTTTGTGATGGAATATTAGAGCAGGGATATCCTATTCCGCCATCTTGCTGATCTTAATCACTCTCTTTGCTTCTTTGGAAGAGAGACGGCAAGACATAAATTGAAAGAAAGAAGGATATAAAAGGAGAAAGTTGAACAAAATATATTCGGTTATTTAAAACTGGCTAATTTGATAGGCTTTTGCAAAGTCGACTTGCTTTTCCTTTTATCTATAGAAAATAACTAATTTATGAATATTTACTTTATTTCTTATAGATTAAATATTTAACGTGATCAGATACAGATTAATGGACAGGGGTGTGAGACTAAGATGGGGAAGGGGGAAATTTTCCCAAACTAATCAGAGTCCATCTGTCGTTAGAAATAAATCCTCACTATCTTCTCAGTGGAGAGAGAGAGAGGAAAAATAGGGAGAAAAAGGAGTAGAAATGGACACAGGAGAGATCGGGAGGCAGTGGAGAACAAAGACAGAAATAAAAGGATTGAAAAATAAGCAGAGAGAAACTCCGAAGTTATAATAATTTTATATGAGAATTCTTTGCTAAATTAAAGTTATTTTACATTTACATTTTTCATGTTCACATAAACAAGCTAGATTGTGAATACACATACAATATGTATTGTATATTGCAGTTTGCATGGCCAGATAGTGCTTCCTAGGCTTAGGTAGAAGGGGAGCGGGTAGGGTAGGAAAGAGGGAAATTGCCTCATTTGGGAGACCTGCCAAAACCAAATGTGGAATGAGGGAGAGAGGGGAAAAGAATTTCTGACAGGAAAGGAAGTTGAGCAATCCCATATCATAGATCTTTGGGGACTGTTTGGGGGTATTTGGCTTTTACTCTCTGAGAGATTGGAAACTATTGCAGGGTTTTGAACAAAAGAAAGACAAAGCCGATTTAGGTTTTAATAAGATCGTTTTGGCTACTGTGTTAAGAATGCATTATCGAACCAATTTTTTTCTCCCTTTCTGATCTACCAAAGTACATCTTTCTGTGTTGACGTACATTTATTAACTAAAGCACCTTTGATAGTCACATATAGATCTATCTTATGGATGCACTGCAATTTATATATAAAATCCATTTATATGAGTTCTTAACACATTGCTACTTTAAGCAGTGCTGAGAGAAACATTGTATGTAATTCATCTAATTATTTCATAAAGATATTTTAGTATAAATAAAATTGATGGGTAAAGGGGATGTGTACTTCTTTTTTATCATTTTATATTAGTTTCGGGTAGACAGTACAAAGGTTAGACATTTATATAATTTATGAAGTGATCCCCGATTACTCTAGCGCCCACCTGGCACTGAAAACAGCCATTACAACAATAGTGACCATATTCCTTGTGCTGTACTCCACAGCCCCGTGACTGTTTTGTAACTATTAATTTATACTTCTTCATCCCTTTACCTTTTTCACCCCTCCCCGCTCCAACCCCACTTTCCCCTGGCAGTCACCAGTTTGTTCTCTGTATCTGTGAGTCTGGTTTCATTTAGTTTGTTAATTTCTTTTGTTCCTTAGATACTGCATATAAGTGACATCATACACTATTTATGTTAGCTTAAAATGTGTGCGAAATGAGGTAAAATTTATTTCTGAGCATTTGTATTATATGAGACATTCTCTTTTTAAAAAATCTGATTTCTACAAGGAACATGTAAAGAAATTCTAGTAAAAGTTTATTATTAAAATAATCCTGGGGAAGAGCAGAAATATGACTCTTCACATATAAAAATAATTTCTATTCTTTTTATTATTTGTGAAAATTGGTATCTTCTGAGCACTTTTAGAATCTTCAGAAGGGAGTCTTTTTATCTGTGCCTGTAGAGTCTATGTATATAGTTCATCATACACATATGTTTGTATTATCTAGAGCTTTATTACATATGCTATGTAAACAATTTTAATCATTTTAGTGGTATCCTTATGCAAATTAAAAATAAAAAAAATGCTTTGACGAGGGCAAGAACAGAAGCAAGACCAGTTAGAAAGCTTTACAATATTCCAGGTGGCTTACACCAGAGTCGTAGCAGTGGAGGTGGTGATAAGTGGTCAAATTATGGATGTATTTTGAAGAAGCAACCGTCAGGGTTTGCTGATTTATTGGGTGTCTACGTGTGCTTGCATGTGAGCACATGAAGGCATACACAGGGAAA